GCAGGTTGAAATCCCCCATGACCACAAGTCTGGGAGTATCAGCCGCCACCTTGGCTATAACATTGAGGAGTTCGGGCAGGGTCATTGCCACATGGCAGGGAGCCAGCTACATGATCAACAGACCCATCTGCACCTCATGACCCCACTTCACAAAAAGGGACTCACATCCGGCTATCTGAGGTACAGTGGTCTCCCTTGGATCAAGACCTTCTCTTAGAATGACCGCCACCCCGCCGCCCCTGCCCTGAGCTCTCGGCTGATGAAATGCACGGAAGCCTGATGGGCACATCTCCACGAGGGGAACTCCCCCCTCATGACCCAACCAGGTCTCCATGATACCTGCCAGTTCCGCTCCCCCCTCATTTAATTCACAATATACTTTACATGATGCAATATTCCAAATTTAATTTAAATTTGAGTCCTGGTGGCGCAGCAGACTAAAGCACTGTTATTAACATCAGCTGCCTGCAATTACTGCAAATTCAAATCTCATCAGGTCCAAGGTTGACTCAGTCTTCCATCCTTTCTAAGGTAGGTAAAATGAGGACCCAGACTGTGGGGGCAATAAGCCGACTTTGTATAAATGTACAAAAGTATGAAGGCTATTGCTTAATGCATTGTAAACTGCCCAGCTTAAAATCTTCTAAAAATCCTACTCCTGCTGGGATTTTAGCTGAGTTTTTAAAGGACATTGCAGAGTGCTCTGTAGGGATTTTTAGAAGATTTTAAGCGGGGATTTTAACCAGTGCTTTAAACATTTTAACCAACTTATTTACAATGACGCGGGAAAACACCCGAGATTTAAATTTTTTTGTGTATGTATGTATGTATGTATGTATGTATGTATGTATGTATGTATGTATATGTGTATGTGTGTGTATATATACACACAATATATATATATTTGTTTTCTCAGGTTTTCGCGGGTGTTTGTATGTAGGTCTTTGGTTATTCGGGTCTTCTCCCACGTAAAATTGGAAGTGTCTTGGCAAGACACTTCCAATTTTACGTGGGAGAAGACCCGAATAACCAAAGACCTACATATATATATATTCCATTTATTTTTTTAACTTATTCCAGAATCCTGATAAGCTTTTGAATTTAATTCTTTTAAGTCTTTATAACTAGTTCCTTTTTAAAAAAAACTTTAATCTTTCTTGGACTGAAGGTATATTTAACCAGGGTTGTTTTAGGTCTCTGCTGCTTTGAAGATCTTTTACTCCTTACCTTTATTCCATTTAAGTGTGCTTTTTTGTGGATTGGTGAGTTCCAGTAACTGTGCAATTTCCAGGAAATTTCTAATATCTGCTACAGAAAACATTCTTCTTCAGAAGCTGAATAATGCCTTAAGAAAATCAGTTATCCTTTAATCATTATTAATTGAGAAGACTTGATCATAGAAGTGTAAACTGGAAATGTTGAGGAAAGTGATCATGGAAAGTTGAAATCTTCATTGTGGAAAATAAAATAATACAATAAACTGAATGCAGTAAAGTGCATAGGCTGAATTTCAAGAAAGTGGATAAAGACACAAAGCAATGATGAGTTGGATTCAATGTCAAGTCAATTTAATAAGAAAATAAACTTTTATTCTAACATTCTAGATAATTTATCTGGTGTTAAATACCAGCAATATCTCATCTTATATATTTTTTCTTTTAAATTATAGTTTAGTGTAAATTTTAAATCTTTCATCCACATATTTTCCCATTATTCAAGCATCATATTTTTTCCAAAATTCCTTGCCCACTGAATCATATAATGTTTTACATGTTTACTTTCCAAATTCAATTTCAATATCATTTCATAATTTCAATATCATTTCATAAATCTTAGCAATAATATGCTCATCATTACCATACAGTCAGATTTCCAATTCATTTTTAGCAAAATCAAACTCATAACTCTTTTTGTCTGATTTAAATAATTTTTCAATTGTTGTTATGTAAACCAATGACAAATATAACCACCTGATTCATGTTCTTCCCTCGATTTTAGTGTAGGGTCACCACAGTTGAAAGATAATATTTGACCATAAGTCCACCAGTCTGGCTTCACCATCATTTCTTTTCTTAAAAAAACTTCCTGGGGGGGACACCAAAGAGGCAGCTTCATAGAGAACCTTGTTTTATATTTATTCCAAATTCTTAGTATGGCATGTCTAACAAAGTAATGATTAAAATCAACATAACTTTAACTTTATCATACCATAAATACCATGTCATCCAAATCTTAATTTGTGGCCCTCTAATTCAAGTAGTCTCTTTTTTCACCCACTCTTTTAACCAGGCCAGACAGCATGCATCAACATACAATTTCTGGCCTGGTAAACCCAAACCACCTCTTTCTTTAGCATCTTGCAGAAATTTGTATCTAATTCTTGCTTTTTCCTTTGCCATATTAAACTTAGAAATATCCCTCTGCAATTGTTTGAATGGATTATTGGTTGTGAGTATTGGTAGTGTCTGGAATTTAAAAAAAGCATATTTGGTAAAATGTTCATCTTAATTACAAATATTCTACCCAATAGTGATAGCTGCATCTTTGTCCCATCTTTCTAAACCCTGTTTAATATCCCTCCAAACAGGGACACATTATTTTGAAACAGTTTTATATTTGAATTTGTCAACATAACCTCTAAGTATTTCACCTTTTTCTTAACCCTAAAACCCATTTTTAGTCAATATGATACTGTCCTGAGATGACATATTCTTGATCAACATGGTTGTTTTCTGTTTGTTTATTTTAAAACCTGCTAAAGCCCCAAACTCATTTAATTTCCTCATCAGATATTCTACATTATTTTTTTGATCTTGCAGGAATATAACCAGATCATCAGCAAATTCCCTCAATTTATAAACTTTATACCCTTTATTTTGTCAATTTGCCTAATACCTCTATTCAAAACTTCCACTATCAAGATGAACAGCAGAGAGGACATGGGACATCCTTGTCTTGTACCCTTTTGAATTTCACATGAATTTGGTAAATCAGCATTAATGGCAATTTTTGCTCTCTGTGACATGTAGATCATTTTGATTCCTCGAATAATGTTCTCTCCAAAGTCCATTTCTTTCAATACTTTAAACATAAAAGATCAATTTAAGTTGTCAAAGGCCTTTTCTGTATCTAGTAATATTAAGGCTGTCTGTTTCTCATTATGATATTGTAAATATTCAATAATTAGTTATTTATATTTATTTCATTTTTCATTTTTCATTTTTATTAAATTTGTATACCGCCCTACTCCCGAAGGACTCAGGGCGGTGAACAGCCATAAAATAAAACATGTAGATACAAAATTTAAAATAGAGATAAAACTAATTAAATAAATTTGGCTGAGACATTTTAAAACCCCAATAAATTAAAACCAAATTTAAAATTCCATTTAAAAGAGGAAAAGTTTAGGTCAGGCCAGCTTGATGGAATAAAAATGTCTTAAGCGCGCGACGGAAGGTACGCAGATCCGGAATCCTCCGTATCTCCGGGGGGAGCTCGTTCCAGATCGTAGGTGCCCCCACAGAGAAGGCTCTCCCCCTGGGGGCCGCCAGTCGACATTGTTTGGCTGACGGCACCCGGAGGAGCCCCTCTCTATGGGAGCGTACTGGTCGGTGGGAGGCTATTGGTGGCAGCAGGCGGTCCCGTAAATATTAATTTGTTTGTTGATTAATGGTTCAAGATTATCACAAAACAATACACTATTAATACATTCACAAATTACAGTACATACATATATAAAAGGAGAGGTGTTGGACTAGAAGACCTCCAAAGTCATTTTATATCCTTTAAAAATCCCACATTACTTAAACTGGTGATCAAAGCTAATATCCTTGCTTTGAGGGATAGCTTTTAACACATTTTTAAGAAAGTTACACAACAATAAAGATACAAAAAAAAAGTAGAAAAAGTACTACTAAACCATGAATAAGTACATGGGGGTTTTTTTAGTGCTGTTTTTGCCCTTTCCTTTCTATTTGTTCCCCCAAACCATTAACTACAGTTTTAATATTTATACTCTATATTGAACATTGAAGGCTACTGTTAATATCTCTTTTTAAAAAGTTAAATTCTTTTAAATTCTTTAAAATTCTTCCTTCAATCCATATGCCAAATTTGCCTTGCCATGTGATGTAGTATGAAAAAAAACAATTTCTGCTTATATTTTGTTAGATTTCTACTGTGATATATACTGGTTTTTTTGCCATCTATATATTCTCCAATTTTAACCTACCCAAGTTGTTTGGGGTGACAATTTTTTTTTATTATACCTGTTAGCATGTATTTTAGTCAACCATGACATTTTTTATTTGGAATTATACCTAATAAAATATCTGTGGTCTCCTTGTATATGCAGTATATTAAAGTATATTAAACTTGAGGTCGTTTCCTCTTTGCTAGAAGCTGTGTGAAATTTTTATCTGATTATTCTGTAGAACGTCTACTGGAAGACATGCTTGGCAATATGTAGGGAGTATTATTTCTTAGAAGTTAAATAGGATAATGAAGAATCCAAGTTTGTATTAAGAATTTAAAGGAAAGGACTGCTCATCATGTCCATTTTTCTACAGTATTTTCCTAAATGAGGGAATAATTGTACATGTTCCTAAACAGGTGAGTCACCAGGATTTGAATTTGACACAAAGTAAAATTGACCTTTTTTTAAAAAAAAAAAAAATGTTTATAGGTTCTTTCCAGACTCCTGGAGTGAGGCAGTTTCTGTATATCCAATGTACAGAAGTGAATAAGATTTGGCAGATTTACACATTTCTTTATGTAATTTTCAAATTTTCACATTAAATAGTTGAATTATATTAGTAGGATAACCAAAACTTTACGCATTCTTTCTATAATAATTATTTCTAATTTGAGATCTTACATATTTAAGTGAACTGTTCATTCCTCTTCATTGCAGGAATTTTCTAAAAGAATGTTATAACTCTTGGAATCACATGATACAAACTCACAACTACAACTACAGATTTTAAAATACATGCAAAAAATCAATCCAATGGTGTTCTTTCCCAGAATCTCATAAAGGCACCTTTCACTTCTTTGTTCCTCAAACTGTATATGACAGGGTTTAAAGCAGGGCTAATGATTGTATGAAAAAGGGAGAGGTATTTGTCTGTATTTGGAAAATAAGTGGAATTGGGTTTCATATACTTAATACAAGCAGAACCAAAGAATAAGGTCACAACAATGAGATGTGAGGAGCAAGTGGAAAAGGTCTTTTTCCGGCCCTCAGAGGATGAGATCTTTGAAATGGCAGCAATGATTCCAGAGTAAGACATTAAAATCAGAAGAAAAGGAAAAGTTGCAAAAATCACTACAACTACAAAATCAGTTATTTCAATTCTAAACGTGTTCCCACAAGCCAATTTCAGTAATGGAGGAATATCACAAAAATAATGATTGATAACATTAGAATTACAAAAGGGCATCGTGAATACCATAGTTGTATGGCCAAAGGACATGAAAAATCCACTTAACCAAGAAGCTACAGCTAAGTTAGTATAAACTTTTTGCCCCATTAGGACAGAGTAGTGCAGAGGTTTGCAAATGGCAACATAACGATCATAAGCCATTGAGGCCAAGAGGAAACATTCTGTTCCACCCAAAAACAATGCAAAATAATTCTGCAGAGCACAACCCATAAAGGAGATGGATTTATTCCCTGAGCAGAAATTGTGAAGCATCTTGGGGACAATAGCTGATGTGAAACATATCTCAAGGAAGGATAGATTCCTTAGGAAAAAATACATGGGTGTTTGTAGGGTTTGGTCAACCAATGTAAGGAGAATGATTAGAAGATTTCCAGTCAAAGCATTGATGTAGATTCCCAGAAAAATGGAGAAAAGTATGCTTTGTATATGGTATTCTTCAGAAAGACCCAGAAGGATGAATTTGTTTGGTGCCGTGTTGTTTTGTAGAACATTTTCTTTCTTTATATGCATCCTGGGAAAAAAAAAAGCAACTATATGTTAATTTAATAAATTAAAATGTAATTTTATTTAATTCAGTTATGTGTGAAATCATACTCAGGCTTAGTAATATTAAAAATTGGGACTTTAGATAAATCTATGGTGTATCAGGACCAATTTCTGCTTATTAGACAGATGATGAACTACTCATACATGTACTACCTGCAAATAAAAAAATCATTGTTATGGAGAGAAGAGAAGAGAAGAGAAGAGAAGAGAAGAGAAGAGAAGAGAAGCGAAGAGAAAAAACTGGGAAAAAGACACAAAATACAAAGAAGTACAAATAGAAATATAACAACCATGCAAAAGAAAGCAAAGCAAACAAATACTAATAGTGTGCCTTGGGGTGCAATCCCCAAAACCAGAGCACTACTAGAATACCATTGACATTGGCAAGTCAACATTAGTCAATTGTAAAAGCAACTTTATTTGGAACAGTTTACATCCTGCATTGATACTTTTAACACGATCAAATAACAACACCTGCCTATCCTAAATTCTTAGAAAGATTACAATAAGTTGATAAAAGTGCCAAATTCAGTCTAAACATCTGTCTTTGTGAAAAAAAAATAACAGCAATCATTAGGATAAATTTTTTTCTTTTTTTTTTTCTATAGTAGTGATCCTCATGACATTATTAAAGAAAGAACCTGCGTTTGAAAAATATATTAAAAAGTTCATCTTCCCCCAGAGAAATTTCAGGAAATTTTCTATTTAGTTTTTATCATATGTGATTGCTAAACTTCAACAGATAATTTGTACAGATAACCTTAACTTTCTTTTTGGAAACTCAACTCCTACATCTTTGAAGGGGTTGTGCAAAAGGATAAATAGAAAAGATGAAGATAATAATATGTATCTAATATCAGTCCCACTTAGAAAGATCTATTAGAATATTCTGCCATTGTCTATATGATATTGGAATCCACATAATTAGGTGAAAAGTCCTCCTTAAGTCATTGAAACTTATTTCAATGTAGACCTTCACAGGATTGCACTAAAGCCTTGATTTCCTTCAATCTTCAGGATTGTATCTTCTTTTGTTTCATTATCCACTGCCATGCCACATGAATTCCATATAAGTCTCAAAGCACTGCATAGCCAATCTGTATTTATCCAGTTTGCCCATATCAACTTCAGATCTTCTCACCTATTTCAAGTTTGTGTCATACATATTCCCACAATTTCTGCAGCTTAGAAATAGTATCTCAATACATTCTTTTCATAATGTGAGTAACCAAATAATTGAATGCAAGGTAATTAAACTGCTAAATTAACTTTCCTTTGGAGTGTCCACTCTTAAAACTTCTCTTTCAGTAAAAATAATTGAAAGAAAGCGTTCTGATACTTTCTACCTCCTTAAGCAGCTTTTAATTCTGTATTTGTGTGAATTTCTGATATGCCTTCTTAAACACTTCTCCCCCCCACCCCTCCATTGGCTGTGATAGGTAGTAAGGGTTAGAAAGGCATAATTTACTACAAAATAATCAACAAACCCTTCATACAGCAGAAAAGTCTTCTCCCTAAGTAGATAGTGTTTTTTATTCCCTGATGCAGAGTCCAAATGAGAATTTAATATTGCCAAAACAAAATATATCTCTTTGAAAAAGAGAAAATTTGCACAGTAAACGGCATAAAAGAAATATAGAATACATTATAAATTTCCTATATACAAAATATGAAGCAGAATTTTTAAATATTCTTAATGCTAGAATGGTTTGTTCTAGGGACTTCTTTAAAAATGTCATTTTTATACTGATTAATGAGATCCTTCTTTCCTATTTTATGATTCCTTTGGAATTCTGAAAAAAAAATTCCCAAAAATATCCTAACATACTTAATTTTTGTCTTTAATCCAGGTGCCGGATTTTTTTTTTAAAAAAATATAATACATTTTTCAAATTCTTTCAATATATTCACTACAGTGAAAGACTCATATTATTTATTTATTTATTTATTAATTAATTTATTATTTATTTATTTATTTATTTATTTATTTATTTATTTATTTATTTATTTGAAACATTACTTTAATAACACTGGTCAATATACTTTTTTCAAAAGTTTTGCTTTCTAAAAAACTTTTGGCGAACACTAATGTAATTTCAGAATGACTATATCACATAGAACTCATAAGAAATATGAAATTAACTTTTAATGACAATAATGTATTTAAACACATACAGTTTCTGACATGCTGTGTAAGTTCAAGAAGGCTAAAAGTGTTTTGCTGGTGATTTTCATTGTACTCAGTGTCCATAGCATCTTGCAGCAGTGTCAAACAATAGTCAGCCAGTACTGATGGATTTTGGTTGTCAAATACAGGTGAAACTCAAAAAATTAGAAAATCATGCAAAAGTTCATTTATTTCAGTAATGCAACTTAAAAGGTGAAACTAATATATGAGATAGACTCATTACATGCAAAGCGAGATAGTTCAAGCCTTGATTTGTCATACTTTTGATGATTATGGCTTACAGCTCATGAAAACCCCAAATTCACAATCTTAGAAAATTAAAATATTGTGAAAAGTTCAATATTCTAGGCTCAAAGTGTTCCACTCTAATCAGCTAATTAAGCTATAACACCTACAAAGGGTTCCTGAGCCTTTAAATGGTCTCTCAGTCTGGTTCAGTAGGAATCACAATCATGGGAAAGACTGCTGACTTGACGGTTGTGCAGAAAACCATAATTGACACCCTTCATAAGGAGGGAAAACCTCAAAAGGCAATTGCAAAAGAAGTGAGATGTTCCCAAAGTGCTGTATCAAAGCACATTGATAGAAAGTTATGTGGAAGGGAAAAGTGTGGGGAAAAAAGGTGCACAAGTAGCAGGAATGATTGCAGCCTGAAGAGGATTGTCAGGAAAAGGCCATTCAAAAGTGTTGGGGACTTTCACAAGGAGTGGACTGAGGCTGGAGTCAGTGCATCAAGAGCTACCACACAGAGACGGATCCTGGACATGGACTTCACATGTCATATTCCTCTTGTCAAGCCACTCCTGAACAACAAACAACGTCAGAAGCATCTTACCTGGGCCAAAGAAAAAAAGAACTGGTCTGTTGCTCAGTGGTCCAAAGTCCTCTTTTCTGATGAGAGCAACTTTTGCATCTCATTTGGAAATCAAGGACCCAGAGTCTGGAGGAAGAATGGAGAGGCACGCATGCAAGATGCTTGAAGTCCAGTGTGAAGTTTCCATAGTCTGTGTTGATTTGGGGAGCCATGTCATCTGCTGGTGTTGGTCCACTGTGCTTCATTAAGTCCAGGATCAATGCAGCCGTCTACCAGGAGATTTTGGAGCTTCCTTCCACAGACTTCCACAGAGCTTTATGGGGATGCTGACTTCATTTTCCAGCAGGACTTGGCACCTGCCCACACTGCCAAAAGTACCAAAACCTGGTTCAATGACCATGGGATTACTGTGCTTGATTGGCCAGCAAACTCGCCTAACCCGAACCCCATAGAGAATCTATGGGGCATTGCCAAGAGAAAGATGAGAGACATGAGACTGAACAATGCAGAAGAGCTGAAGGCCGCTATTGAAGCATCCTGGTCTTCCACAACACCTCAGCAGTGCCACAGGCTGATAACATCTATGCCACACCGCATTGAGGCAGTAATTGATGCAAAAGGGGCCCAAACCAAGCACTGAGTACATATGCATGCTTATACTTTTCAGAGGTCCAATATTGTTCTATGTACAATCCTTGTTTTATTGATTTCATGTAATATTCTAATTTTCTGAGATTGTGAATTTGAGGTTTTCATGAGCTGTAAGCCATAATCATCAAAAGTATGACAAATCAAGGCTTGAACTATATCGCTTTGCATATAATGAGTCTATCTCATATATTAGTTTCACCTTTTAAGTTGCATTACTGAAATAAATGAACTTTTGCACAATATTCTATTTTTTCAAGTTTCACCTGTAATTCAAGATGGCCAACATATTCAAAATACTTTCCCCTTCTATTTTCTCCATGACAACAACCCTGTGAAGGAAGTTGGGCTAAGAGAGAGTGTCTGGCCCAAGGAGACTCAACTGGCTTTCATGGCTAAGGTGGAACTTGAAGTCATAGTGTCTTGCTTTTTAACCTGATGTCTTAATCATTAGAAGAATATCTTACAGCTGTAGTTTACCAAAGGTGAGGAGGCTTTGAGGATTTTTGTTGCTTTAACAACCACTTTAAGGTTTGGTTGCAAGGTGAAGTGCACCAAAATAAACAATAACAAAGAAACAAAAAAAGAGTGTGGCAGGGATGATTTATTGTTTATTTATGCTTATTTTGTTTTCCTCGATTTATATTCCCCATAATAATAAACCAGAGTTATTAAGTTTTTATTATTTTTAAAACTAAGTGGTATGACAAAAACAAGGCAAAATGATTCTGCAGAGCACTACAGAAACATGTGATCAACCTATTCCAAGGGTGCCCAACCCCTGGGCCATGGCCCATTATTGGGCTGTGGCCTATTCAGAACTAGGCCGCACAAGCCCCCTTAACATGCACTGGCTGCTCACACAAATGGAGTTATGCGTGCTTGTGCATACCTGCCTATCACTTGCAAAGAACTATCCCCTCTCCCCTTCCCCCTCTCACTGGATCCCCAGGCCAGAAAAGTTGGGGACCACTGGCCTACACCAAAGCAATACATACACTTTGCTATCTCAGAGTTAAACATTCAATAAGAAGGCTAGCTATGAACTGAATTTTGTTCTGTACTCAAATGTTTTTAAAACATATACCTGAGTTCAGGCTATTCCCCCTCCCTTTTTTTGGGGGGGGGAAATTAAGAGTCAAATATCTTATTTGGCACTTTGGCACTTCCAACTTGTTACACCACATTTGATGCCCACTAGCAAATGCATCAAACCTTTCATAGTTACTTGAAAATAGTATAAGACAATAACAATAGAAATAAATACTGTATGTATTTCCTGCAATTATAAAATGATGTTTGCTACTGAGACTC